ACGGCAACAATAGAGTGGGAAGAAATCTGGCTTCTGTTGGAGGGGAGACGGATGAACTTGTTTGGGAGGCAAAAGGCCAGACTGCGGATTGGGCCACGGCATCTGCTAGTATTTTCACTCCCTGGGAACCCAGGTTCTTTGTTTTTCAGCAGGGTGGAAAGAATCAACCACCTATGCATGCTTAACCGAGGATTCACAAGTGTGAATGCCGCAGCTTTCCTGGCTGTGGCAGGCATCACTAAGAATATTTATCCACATCGGGGTCCCTGCATGGACTGGATGTGTGAACTCAGCGAGCCTGCCTTTTCTCGTTAGGACTGGAGGGATGGTAGCGTCTACCCTCTAGGATGGGTGAGGATCAATCAGACACACAGCACGCTATGCACGTGGGTAATGAGTGCCTGTCCTACTGCTAAGTGGCTTTGTGAGGTTCAAACATCAGCTTCAAATCACCTCGTCATGGAAACCATGGCGAGTGCCCTCTCCTTATCTGAGCGTCCAGAATGGCGATTCTCCCTACCACAGCAGCAGCTTGGCCTTGAGTGTCAGTGTGTCTACCACTGTATGAGAGTGGCGGTGGGGACCCGGGTGGAGGGAAGAGATAGAACTGTGCCCTGCTTGGCAAGGATGCCAGATGTCTCCTGAAGGCAGTTTTCTTTGGCTCTCTGAAGACTTTACCTGGGTTCAGCTGGGTAGCTTTGCCTGCCCTGTACTTCTGGTTCTGTTACGGAGCAGGTTATTTGAGTTCCTCAGAGAAGCCTATGCCACTCAGGTGGCTCCCCTAGATCTTGATTACACTGGTGGAGTCCGGGGAGATCCTCTTCCCAGTCTTGTACAAATAAACAATCTAAGCTATCTTTATTCTGAGACGTGAACTCAAATAGCCCAGGCAGACCTTGAACTCCCTGTGTAGCCAACAAGGATGACCTTGAACTGATCCTCCTGCTTCTGCCTCCTAAGTGTTGAGGTTACAAGCAAGTGCCTCCATTCCTGGTTTTAGGTTTTGTGTAACTTCTTGAGGTGGGGCTGGAGCCCCAGGCTTCTTGCGTGTTAGGGCCACACTCCACCGGCTGAGCTATATCCACACCCTCAACCAAAGCTTCTATTGAACTAAGTGTATCTCCGGTCCCATTGTGCCTAGCCAGGGCACAGCCACTGCATAATCAGCTGGAGCTACAGAACTCCAAAGCAGCTCTTCCTCAAACGAAAGGTACTGTTCCAAACTGCATGACAGCAGAAGGCAGGGTCTTCACAGCAGACCCCAACTTCACACAAGTGTTCTGTCACTGGAGTCGTGTGGAGGACTGAAGGCTTCCTAATGGCCAAAGGGGAGCTATAACGTGAAAACTTATATTTTAGATTGAAAATTTTATTAAAGTATATAACTATTTTAAGCCACCATACAAATATCCTTTTGTATTGATCTCAGTGTGATGAACTAGCTGAATAAATATGCCAATTTCTTCCAGTGAGCCAAACAGTATTTTTAACCTACTTTAAAATATGTGTTGTTTCCTAGGGTTTTTCAAACTCTGGAGTTGATTATGAAAGCAATTTCAATTTTTAAAAATTCTTCTTTCCAGAGAACATACATATATATTTTAAACTACCAAATGGAAAGCTTAATGGGAGGGGCCATTATTTTTTAAAGTTGCAAAGTAAGGTGAAAAGGAAAGCGGATTATTGTGATGGTTAATAACGACTGTCAATCTGATCTGATTTAAAACACCCAGGGCACCAACTTCTGGGCATGTCTGTGAGGACTTTTCCAAAGAGACTTAACAGAGGAATGAAGACCAACCCTGAATGTAGACAGTACCATCACATAGGTTGGAGTGGCCACCAAGTGAAAAGGAGAAAGCAGGTGGAACCAGCATTCATCTCTCTCTGCTTCCTGGCTGAGCATGCATTGTGACCTGCCACCTCACACTCCTGCCACCAGGCCTTCTTGTCATTATGGATTATGCCCTCAAACCACAAGCCAAAGAAAATCCTTCCTTCCTCAATTGCTTTTGTTGGGTATTTTGCCACAGAAGCTAGAAAAGTAGTTAATGCAAGAAATTGGTACCAGGAGCAGGGTTCCTGTTGCAATAAACATAATCACTTGGGTTTGCGTGCTTTTGGGACGAGTTTGCTGGAGGAATACAAAGAATTTGGGGCTCCAGACTAGAGAAGCCCTAGAACGACTTAGGAAGAGAGTAAATGGCCACTGTGTGTCAGGGCCACCGTGAGAGCACAGCAGGAACAGCAGAAAAGCCTAGCTAGTAGATGAGAATGGAGTACGGCAGGTTTAAAGCCGAAGACAAAGCGGATGTAGAGAAGGCAGCTGGAGCTGCTGGAGAAATCAATGCCACTCAAGAGAAACTGGCACCCTAGGGCAGTAGGAAAGGCGAGGTCTTACTCACAAAGCACTTCAACTTGTAAAAATGCAAATTCGCTTGAAAAAGAGAAAGCCTACATTTAGAGTGCTAATCACCAGAACCAGAGGGCCACATAGGAAAGCGTTTTCCCAGGGTCTGCCTCCAAGGCACACAAAGGTTGCCATAACTGTTGTCTGAGGGCTTATGCTACATCTTCATCTGGCAGCACAACTTGGCAGCATTTTCCATGAGGCACTGGTTCTGCAGGCATGGAGGAGTCACAGACGCTAACACCAGAGTTCTAGAAGCTACTGAAGCCAGGCAGTGTGGAGCTGGGTCAGGTCAGACTTGCTGTAAGTAGGCCTTAAGAGGCCATGGCATGAAGCTGAGAAGGTGAAGCCTAAGTTGCAATGGAGACCCCAGGATATTGGAGATACTAGTAATGAGGAATGCGTTCCAAGAACTGCATCATGAAGCAGAGCTGGCCTAGGAGAGAGTCTGTGTGTACGGTAGGCACCAGAACCAGAATTGCAGCCACCCAAGAAAACTGCAGCCCAGACAGTGCCATCAAGAGCCCCACATCCCAGACATGGAACTACAGGGTTTGGCGTCAGCCCTGCTGTGATCCAGTCATATCTTGCCTGAGTCTTTGCTTGTTTATTTCCATCCTTCCTTTGTCGGAAGAATATCATGTTTTCTTCATGATATTGCATAAGAGAAGTGTACGACTTGAAGGCTTGATTTTTACAGGGACTCATATATAAGACATTTCTCAAATCTCACAGGAGAATGTATTTAAACTTCTGAAGTTTTAGAACTGTTGAGATATTGGAGACTTTTAGAGATGAACTAACATATTTTACATTACAAAATGAACAGGAGATAGGGATCAGAGAGGGATGCAATGGTATGATTTAAAAGTGATATGCTTGGGTGCCAAGCTGATGAAATGAAGACTTGTGATAGTTAATCCTGATTATCAACTTGGCCATACTTAGATTCGCCTAGGAGACACACTTCTAGCCTTGTGTGACGGAGTGTTTAATTCAGATGGGAAGACCCATCCGGATGTGGCGGATGTGGATGTGGTGGCTGGGTTTCAGATGAGTGCAGAGCAGGCAGTGGGTGGAGTATCTCTGTTTGCTGACCCAGGATGCCATCTGACTAGCCACTTTAGGCTCATGATGCCATGACTCCCCTCATGATGGACAGGACCCTTAAACTGTACCAAAACAAACCTTCCTGCTTTAAATTGCTTTCTTCTGGAATGTTTTCACAGGAGGAAAAAGACTAACTATATACAATGTAGCATTACACTGAAGACTGCTACAACAAGGTTAAGCTTGAGTAACAATTCTTCACATCTGTAACAATGTATTCTACGTATTTTCCCCCATCTCTGCAAATCCATTTTCTTAAGTTTCTTTTTTCAAGCATATAACGTGTACTTAATCAGGGTCTCTCCGGGAATTTGGGGATTTTCAGAAATTAAGGCAAGGACTGGGAAATAGCTCATTTGGCATAAGTGCTCAGTGTGTAGGCCCGGATATCTGAGTTCAAGTTCCCAGCACACATGTAAAAGCCAGATGCATGGCTCAGGGATCTGTAATCGGGGAAGCAGAGACAGGGAAATTGCTACAAGTGCATAGGCCAGCTGTCCTGATATGTGGGAATGAATGAGCAGGACCCTGCCTCAAACAAGGCAGAGAACATAGTTTGTAGAAAATTCAGAGTTTGTTCTCTGATCTCTGAATGTGCGCGTGTACACACATGCGTGTGCGTGCACACACACACACACACATGAGAGAGAGGGAGAGAGAGCAAGAGAGAGAGAGCGCGCGCAAAATTCCGCCCTTTGGGAGTATATTCTCCCAGCATTTCACAGATGGGGACCTAACAGGGAAGAGGCCAAGAATTTGTTCAAGGCCCCGCTGTTCCAATCAGTTCACCCTGGGCTTCCTCTCTTTCCCTTTTGCCTAGTGGGAAAACTCCCCCAAATAAAAGTCCTTCAGGCCCCACAGCTATTTGGAATACCAATGAGATGATATTTAAAAACCAGTTTTCCCCCAGAAGAGCATGAGAGAACTACTGATCACTATAGCTGCTGCCTGTGAATCACGGGATTTCCTGGTTTTAGAGAGAAATGTCAATTTCCCGTTTTGGAAGAAGAAACCGTGGCAGATATTGTGCTTACTCTGGGAGTCAGAGCCTCAGAAAATTCAGGCTCAGGGCAGGGAATGGGGCTGGACAGGAACCAGGCACACCAGCATGGGTGCAGGGTAGGGAATGGGGCTGGACATGAACCAGGCACACCAACCAGTGTCAGGGACAGAGCTAAAAGCAAGTAAAAAAAATGACAGAATCAAGTACTTCCAGAAACTTTGGCCAGCTGGTGTGACTACTGTCCTCAGCAGATCCCAGGTGGTTGGATTCCTTTTAATGGCAGGAATCCACACCTCACACCACAATTCAGGGATGGCCAGCTCTCAGGAAGTCCTCCTCAAGCTTGAACTGAAACCTGGTGGGGACCAGACGAGGGACAGGAGGAGTTCCCTTCCCAATGTGCATTTCTGCTCGACAGGAACGTCTTTGGAGCTAGCTGCCTGAGGCTTCTGCCCCTGCTCAGCCAGGGAGGCTTACCTGAAGTTGTAGCCAGGGGAAACGCTGCTTTTCTCAGACACTCCGTCCAGCCGGGTGAAGGAATATTTGGGGATACACTGGTCCCAGGCCTTGTCCAGGTCACACACCCAGCCGATCTTAATGCCCAGAACGCCACCCTGAGGAAAGGGCCAGGTATGAGCTCTCTGCTGTCCTCAGTCAGGGCTGAGGGTTTGTGGAGAGGGATTTCTTTCTCTTCTCTACATGGGAGGTGGCAGTAGGGAGGGGGTGACCTTAGGGGAAGAGCCCAGAGTCTTAGAGTCCCTGAGAGACAACATAGGGAACAGAGAGCACTGATGCAGATTGCTTTCCCGTGGCATGGTGCTTTCAAGAGACCGAATGCCTCTTCTGGGGAGAAATGGGAAACTGAGGCTTGGGGAAGTAGAGGCAAGATCTCTGGGGGAGAGATGGACAGGATTTGGGGATCTGCATGTCTGGGGTGCTTCCACCAGGAGGCATTTACTGCCCAGCATCCCAGGGGTGATCCCTGAAGTCTATGGGAGCCCTGAGCTTTCCGGGTAAGCAGAGGGGCATGGATAAGAGACAGGTCTCACCGTGCGGGCCAGCTTGGCAAAATCTTGCCCGGCAAACTTAACCACATCCCCTACCCTCAAGATGGGGCAGAATGGGGCCTTTTCAGGGTGGAAGCGGCATGTCTTTATGTCCTTGGCTGTCAGGTTGGGCAGGAGGTTTCCCCTGGGGAGGAAAGAGGAAAGAGATGAGGCCCAGAATTAAAGTAGAGGTAGTTATGCCTAAGTTTTCTCCAGTCTTCTGGATGCTTCTGGCCCTCAACACCGAAGTGGGGACATCTACTGCACCTCAGCCCCTCCCCGTCTACCTCCCTTCTTTCCCCGCATGGTTTTGTAACTCCGTGTTCCATCTCATGGCAGGGCTAGGAATGTCTGTGGCCAGGGTCTCCAACTACCAGGCTGGGCTCCTGGTGACCAGAGTCTCCTGATTGCTCTGTGCATCTCCGTGGTGCCTGGCAGGGTCCTTTGTGCAAGGCTCGCTGCCACTAGGTAGTTGCTGAATGTATGAGCCAATGTAGTGAGGGCAAACTAAGACAAAGCAAGCAAGCAAACAAAACAAAACAAAACAAAAAAACCAAGCAAACCAACAGTCTCTATTGAGTGCTGTAGATGGCAAGAAATAAAAGTGACAGACACTTCACACCCCAACTGCAGGAGGCCTCGGTGTCCACAGCTGGGCCATGCTGTCTTTTCTCTGCTGCGAGAGACTCCTATGTGGGTTCAAAGCTCCAAGGCAGGGACACAGGCAGAGAAACTGGGTATGTGGCATTTGGGATAGGAGCTCCAGGGGGTTGAGTAGATGGAGAGAAAGAGGGGGGCCTCTGTGGAAGGCTGAATGAGGGAGGAATCGGGGACTCACTTCTCGAAGTTGAAGAGAGGGAAACGGATGCTGTTCTTGATGAAAATGGTGAAGTTCTCCGCTTCCATCATGATAGGCCTGCGGGCGAGAAGGGGCGATTCAGCTCTTGGGAGAAGAGAGACAGGGGGCTTTTCTCAGGAATATTCCTTTGTGGGTGCCTCTGGAAAGGAGACATAGACCAAGGACCTATGGGAGCAAGGGTGAGAGGCAGAGGCAGGGCAGGGCGATGACACCCTAAGATAACATTCCCACTGGGGACATGCAAAGCCCTCCATATGCTTGGGGATGCTCAGAGCCTTACATCTCCACGGTGTCCACTTCGGTGGGGCACCAGCCCTGGATCTCACAGGTCCGGAGAACAGAGCTGTAGTTCACACAGCGGCCAGTGAGGATCCCTGGAGGGTGGAACTTCATGTCGAGGTGGCTTCCTGACCCTTGCCACTCCCACCCCCACCCCCCTGTCCTCATCAGGGCCCCAGCAGGCAAGGCAAGCCAATGCATGTGGCCCCAACACCCCAGGACTCTTCTTCCTTGCCTCTTAGTCTGAGCATTCCTTCTTCCTAGAATACCCTTCATGAAGCTCCCTCCATCTTGCCGGATCTTCCCCCAACTTCAGGTCACCTACAGGAGAGCTTTGGAGCCACCTCTCAGAACCATCCTTGTTCCCTCCCCTGGGCTCTCTGTTTTTTTTAAAAATATTTATTTATTTATTATGTATACAATATTTTGTCTGTGTGTGTGCCTGAAGGCCAGGAGAGGGTGCCAGACCTCATTACAGATGGTTGTGAGCCACCAAGTGGTTGCTGGAAATTGAATTTAGGACCTTTGGAAGAGCAGGCAGTGCTCTTAACAGCTGAGCCATCTCTCCAGCCCCTGTATTTTTTTTAATACTACTTGCTACTCTACGCTGCCACTAAAAACCTAGACTGAACTCTTGGGGCAGGAACCATGTACCTCCACAGCCCTGACTGCACCCAGAAAACTTCTTGTAACACTGGCAGAATTCCATAGAATAGGCTTGCCCCCTTTCCTGACTTGGACTTATCCCCATGGAGAGTTCACTGCATTTTAGAGTCCCATGAAGGCTTGGGGTTGGGGTTGGGGTGGGATGGAGGAAAGGGCTGCACTCACCCCCACCCGGGAAGCGCTCAGGCCCACACTGGCTGTCAGACACACAGCGGTACTTCTCCTCATTCTGTGGAGAGACAGGGTCACATGTGTATGAAGGACCCTCCCTTGGCCCTGGGTCAGCCATTCGTTCCCATTGCCTCTCCCAGGTTCCCACAGCTGTGGCTTCTGGTGGGTGGCAGGTCCAGTCGCAGCTCCGAGGCTAGACCAGGGGCCTCTGTTCATACCCCCTGCCTTGCTTCTGCCGGTACACTTCTGTGACCTCTTCCACTCACCTCTGGGCAGAATCCTTGCATTTGATTTTCAGTGACGATCATCTTGGTGATGATGACAAAGACGGAGGTGCCCTTGGGAGGAGAAGGGAGAGGGAAAAAGCCCCGTCCCAATCTGCAGGGCAGGAAGTGATTTCTGCTGCTCTACAGAAGAGGAAGCCGCAGTCTGCCTGTGATTTGGCCAAGGTGGCAGAGCTAACAAGAGAGGCACAGCTGGCATTCAAACAAACTTTTCCTAACCACCTGGTGTTCCCTCTTGCTCTCCTTCTGATCGCTCTCCATGAATGAACAGATGTCACAGGGCCGGGGGAGGGTGGAGGGTTGGGGGAGTCCAGCTTCTTTATGTCCAATCCCCCCAGCAGTGTTGTAGCTTCTGTCCCCATGCTCCCCAGACTTGGGCATGCATGTGTCCCTAGGGTAGGGCACCGTACCTGGGGTGGGGTCACATAATCTGAGACATCCATGACTCTGTTGGCATAGCGTCCGAAGCCTTTCACCTTCGTCACTACCGAGGACTCAATGGCGGTGTCCCGCACTTGGTAGGCCTTCTCGTGCAAGAAAACCCACCTGCAGCAGAGAATGGGGATAGGGTAAGAGCCCACAGGCTCATGAGATGGGGTGGGGAATCCTCCTTCCTGCCAACATTAGAGTTTAGGGGTATGCTTGGCAGGGTCATGCATTGGGATGAGAAACAGGGACGAGTTCTTGTTTAGTTAGCAAGTCTTCATAACCACCTCTGGGGAGCACGTCTGGGCTTCTTCTTCTTCTAATTGTTCTCCTATGAAAACTCTTATTATTCCAACATGTACCATATGGTGTACAGCGTGTGCATGTCTGGAGGTCAGAAGTTTGGTGCGGCGTTCCTTCTCCTACAGAAGTTGATAGTGTTTTTTTTTTGTTGTTGTTTTTTTGTTTTTTGTTTTCTTTTGAAACAGAGTCTCATTCTAGTCTGGCCCTGCCTGGACTAGAATTCATTTTGTAGACCATGCTGGCCTTGAACTCACAGAGATGCACCTGTCTCTACCTCCTAAGTGCTAGGATTAAAGGCGTGCGCCACCTTGCCTGAAATCAGAAGTTGGTACCGAGACAGACGTTTGGGTATCACCTCTATTGCTGTCCACCTTATCTTCTTGGAAACAAGGCCTCGCTGAACCTGGTACTCGGTGAATGGCTAGGCTGGCTAGCCAAGAGCCCTCTATCTACCTGTCTACCTATCAGCACTGGATTGCCAGTATGCACCGCCATGCCTGGCACTGCTTTTCTTAAAGACTGCACCAGGGACTCTAGAATGCTAGGAAATTGCTCTACCAATGAGGAGCTACAGTCCCAGCCTATTTGTGACTGACACATAGAAAACGTGGAGCTATGTTTGACTCCTTAGGAGGAAGTTCCACCCCTTGTGGGCTACATGCATGGCCAAAAGTAAGTACTGCTGATAACAAGGTCTCCCCTCTAGCAGGCACCAAGGAGAGCGGAGACAGAGGTCCCCAGCTGCAAACCCTGAGCAGCCCAAGCTTTATTTATGGTTGTGCCCTGTGTGTCAGGAACACAGCAGACATTCAAGAAAGAAAACAATGAAAGGTCCTTGGAGGGGGCTTCTTGGCAGTCTTCACCTGGCCAACACAGGCTAGGAAATTAGGAGGAGGTGGGGGTGTGGGCAGTGGTGGTGCCTCTGCCTGGGCAGTGAACACCACTGGGGAAATGGGGACACTAATCTTATTCCTTGCATTGTGCTTCCACCTAGTGGTCATTACCTGTCTTCCCATAGTTTAAAGCCGTCATGTGACCTTCCTTCCGTCTCACCTGCTTCTATGGACCTTCCCAGACCAGTCTGAGAGACTCAGACTGCTGACTCCGCCCATCTGTGAAGGCCCGCCTGCCCGTGTGAAAAAAGCCACCACAGCTCTCAGGGTGCAAGGCATCCAGTCCCTATACCTGTCCCAGCCTGACACCTGGGCCTGGTGACACACCGGAAGGTCAATGCAGTTACTGTCTTTATTCTGTAGGTGAGAAAAACCTATCAAACAGGTTTGGGAAAATTTACACACTATACAACAAACCAATGATTCGCTAAATTTTGGTAACCTTATCATCATCATAATCATCATTAGTACCACTGTTATGGCTGTTGTGTTGCGGTGCTAAGGATGGAACCTGGGGCCTTACAGGTGACTCTATCACTGAGATACACTCCTAAGCCTGCTGGCCTTACTTGACCACAGAAGCTGTTTGGGAGAGAGAACTTAGGACAGTTGGCCGAATCAAGCAGAATACTTTGGGAAGGCTGGGTTAACATCATTATCTGCCTCTACCAAACGTTGGGAAGGCACATCAGGAGATAACAGAAGGAGTCTGGGACAGTTTAGCTCAGAGAATGCGGTGGGCATCCCTGGGGCAGCTGCAGAGGCAGTGCTGTGGGCACCCCTGGAAGGGCAGCTGCAGAGGTATACAACCCCGCAGAGGGTTGGGCAGGCATGAGGCATTTGGAAGGGGTTAGCGAGTGTCCAGCCCAGGAATTCCTGTCATTAGATTGGCCATGAACTGCTGTTTCAGGAGGTTATGGACACCACAAGGCTGGCAAGACTGGGGAGCTTGCTTTTCCATGTTTTGTGTAAGCTGAGGAGATGTTTTTCTTGGGTGGAGGGTGGACTGTATGATCTTGAGGTTCCTATACTGTTGGAAGATTGAGAAGGAAGCAGCGTTCAGGTCACTGCTTCAGGGAGGTAGAGTCACTTGTAGGATAGATACACTGTTGTTTACAGCAAGCATGGGCTGGTCTTTGTGAGGTCTCTCCATTTAGTGAGTCCAGTACCATCCCTATGACGGGGCTTTACTTACTGAAGCGCTATTTCTCTCTCTCTCTCTCTCTCTCTCTCTCTCTCTCTCTCTCTCTCTCTCTCTCTCTTTGTGTGTGTGTGTGTAATTCCTCAGAAGCTATCTACTTTTTCCCTTGTGTGGGAGTGAGTATGTGTATGCCATGGTATATGTGGGGAAGTCAGAGGGCAACTTGCAGGAACCAGTTCTTTTCTATTCTGTGGGTCTTGGGGACTTAACTCAGGTTTCCAGGCTTGGAGTAAGGTAGCTTGACATAAAGGCTCTCTTACTGGTATAGCATCTATCTGTCTGCCTGTCTATCTACCTACCAATCTACCTATCTCTCATCTATCTCTCTATCTGTGACAGGGTCCCTCATCTATCTGTCTGTCTGTCTATGAATCTCTGAATGGCAAGGTCTCTCCCATTTACCTGGCACTCACCGACTAAGCTACATTGGCTGGCCAGCAAACCCCAGCGACGCACCTGTTTCTGTTTCTCCAGCCCAGGGATTAGAAGAATGTACAACAATGCCAGGTCTTCTTCACACACGTTCTGGGGATTAAACCTAAGTGCTTGTGCTTGCGAGGTGAGCACTTTATGCAGTCAGCCATCTCCCCAGTCACTCCGTTTTAACGTGTAATTGGCGAGCAATCGTTGTCTGTATCTATGGGACATACTGTGAATGTTTTGGTGCATATATACATTAGAGAATGAGTCTATTAAGCTGATTTGCATAACCATCTCTTTATACTTCTCTGCTTTTTTGTAGCATCATCCTCTTGGATTCTGAATGCTTTCTTGCATGAGAGCAAGAGGGTGGAGTTGCAGCTCTGCCAAATGGCTTTGAACCTGTTACCTGCTTTATTGTGGCTGCCGTGTAGCAGCCGGTAAGTTGATTAATGCACCATTAAGCGTTATCCACATGCTTGTAAAATGCTCTTCTGAGCACCACGCCTTTAGAGAAGTCTGCAGTGCTGTCTGCGTTACCGATCTTTCCATAGTTTCTTTCTTTCTTTTTTTTTTTGAAGGGGAGGAATTTCATTAAGGTCTCATTCACCATGTTATGTTCTAACAGAGATGAAGGCAGGCAGCATCTTGTTACAGGATCCAAGGAAGTTATCCGAAAGAGAGCACCATTAGCTCATGGCCTTGTGCCCTCTGGAAGGATGGGGAATGAGGTCTGGGGGCCTGACTCTCTAACTCAGCTAAGATACTGGCTGCTGCTGAACACTTATCAGAGAGTAAGGCACAGTCCACATGGACTTCTGGAACTCTGGGGAGCCTTGTCACAGGGCTGACATGCTTCTGGGTGCTGAGCTAAGGAAATGGTTCTCTGAGGCCAGTACCCCATCCTTAAAGCCAGGGCACATTTGTAGATGCAAAGAGCATTCAGAGTGTCATATCATATACCAAGACTATGATGCTACATGGACCCAGTCCATAAAGCCTTTGTGAGATGGCTGGACATGACCATTGTGTGACAATTGGGAAACAGACACAGATGGGTTGCTGACTTGCCCAAAGTCACGTAGCTGGGAAGTGGGTTCCAAACTGAGTCTGCTCTGGACCATTCCCAAGCACACCACTGTAGGGTCTCCAGCTATATCTCAAGTAGGATCCCTGCTTCACTGATAGCAAAGCACCCCCTAACTCAGGAAAGTCTCAGGAGGAAGGGGTTTGGGGTGGAGAAACAATTAACCAATCTCTTCCTCCTCCTCTTCCTTTAAGACTCCTTGTATGCCCAGTAGGGAGGAGAGGCCGCATTAGAATTCTCTCTGAGTTAACAAATGGAAGAATTTCAGTGGCCCCATGGGGCTGAGAACATCATCAGGGTAGCTAGCAATGGGAGGTGAGGGGTTGCTTCATTTCCAGAACAGAGGGGCTGAGGCTGTCTCTAGAGGCCAGGGCTCAGGAGATGCAGCAGGACTAAGCCTCTGATTCTTGGCATTTACTCGGCTGCTCTGACTTCTTTTTTTTTTTTTCCTTGCATTTCTGGTTCATTATTTATAGAGCGGAAGGTGGTGGCAGCTCCTTGGCAGGTGGGAAGTGCAGGAAAGAGGCCCAAGCAGCATCCCAAACCCCTCCCACCTGCCCCCAGGGAGGCAAGGAGGAGGAGGAGGCCAGGGAGTGGGTGTGAAATGTGTGCAGTTGTGTGTGTCAGAGGAGAGGGGTCATTTTAGGAAGGTGTGAGCTGGGTAGAGGGAAAGACGGAGGCACATCAGGGAGTCGAGGAGCAGTAATAGTTATCACACATAACACTACTGAGTCACTGTCTCGGAGAGGCACCTAGCATGTGTCACCTCTTGTCCCTGACAGAGGTACTCTTACACCCCTTTCCTAGACCTTGTGGACTGAGACTCACAGGTCTGTGTCAAGGTGGTATCAAAGCAGGGATGTCAAGCCATGGAGTCCCTTCACCCTGAGGCTCTGGCATAAGAAGAAAGCAGGCAACAATGGGTGTCACTCCCCTTGTATCTAGAAGATGAGGGATTCCAACTGACCTTCCAAATGTGTCACCTAGTGTTGTTGATAAGGAGCCTTGGGTGGCCATGGTGGAGCACACCTTTAATCCCAGCACTTGGGAGGCAGAGGCAGGTGGATCTCTGTGAGTTCGAGGCCAGCCTGGTCTATAAGAAGTAGTTTTAGGACAGCTAGAGCTGTTACACAGAGAAACCTTGTCCCAAACCAAACAAAGGAGCCTTGGGTGCCAGCAGCATGGTATCCCCAGCCTCTGGCACACTTAGGGCGGGTGAAGGACAAAGTGTGTCAAGCCCAGCTGGCAGATGATTAGGTGGTGTGTTGCTGTGAGTATGTAAGATGAATGCTTGGTTCACGTTGCACACTTCTTAGGTGAAGCTGTGTGTCCTGTCTCCCTGGCAGGAAGTTACAGGGGAAACACTGAGGAACTAGTGAGTGCGGACACCATAGCAGTCATTAAATATCCCTTCAAGGGACAGGGGCAATTTGGCTCCTTGGGTAAAGTCCTTATCAAGCCTGAGTCCCTGTGGTGGAGAGAGTGGAAAGCCCCGCAACTCTGTCGTTCTCTGACCTGTACACATGTCTATGCTCCACTACCTCACAAAACGAATAAAATGAAATGCAAAAAATAAATAAATAAAACCCTTTCAAGTTCTATTGAGTCTAGGGAGTGCTGACTCTCCTTCAGGCTCTCGCTCAGCCGCATCTACTTCTGTTAATCCTTGGCTCACCAGGAGGCTCAGATCTCACCCAAGGACTCTTCCCCAGTCTCAGTCTTACGTAGGCTGACAGGGTAACTTCTTTCTCACTCTACTGTCCTGTGAAAACACAGGCTTCTGTGGGACGCCAGGTCTGACCTCTGTGCTTCCAGGGGTCTTCCTACACGCTAGCCTCTACTCCTCCCCCAGACTGGGCTCTTTCCCTCCACAGAGGTGGGTTCTTTCTGCCTCGGGACTTCTTCCTTCTGCTCATCTGGCTGCTCCAACCCATCCTTCAGAACCTGGGCTGGTTGTGGCATTTCCAGAAAACTCCCCTCGGGTTCTGGATGAAGCCAAGTGCCTCGACGGTGGCAGCGCTTCTGATGTTGTGCATATTTCGGACACTGTTCACACTTTGCATTTGTCTGTGGGGATCACTGCGTGAATAGCCACTTCTTGCCACATTCACGGGTGTGATGTGGACGGGATAAAGACCCTGTCTGCTCCTGTCCACGGCTCTGCCCTCAGTGCCCGATGCCTGGCACGGAGAGATACTTGATGCCTTTTTGCTAAATTAATCACAATGGATTCATGAAGTCACATGGTGTCTGGGCCCCTATAAACAGCTTGGGCCGGGGGGCTGGGCTGCCAAGCGTGCTGATGTAACTGCAAGGCACGGGTCCACGGGGAGCTGTCAGGCTGGCAGATGGATGGGGTTGCATATCAAGACGCCAAAGAGCCTCTCTCCTGCTCCCCTGAGCAGGCTGGACTCCAGCCCCCAGCACTGGAGAAGTCAATCTGATCCCGATGAGGGGCAGCCAAGGGCAGTGCAGGGCTGAGGGGTCTAGGCTAGTCCAGGAGACGGCTGTCTCTGTCGTCCATCAATGCCCTGCCTGGAGCCAGGAGAGCCGGGCCAGGTTAGGAATGCGCTGAAACAGCTTTTGTACTCATTTGGACCAATACAGCATCCTGTGACTATCAACAATCAAGGCGCTGAATACATGTGTGAGCACAGAAGGCTTCAGGACTGACTCTGAGGCTCAGGATGTAGCTCGGTTGGGAGAGTGCTGGGTTCAACCCTCCAGCATCATATAAGGATGTGGTGGCCCACACTTGTAATTCAAGGTCATCTTCACCTATGTAGTAAATTTAAGGACAGTCTGGAATACATGAGACTGTGTCTTAAAAAAACAAAACCAAACAAACCAGGCAACCAAAAAAGGAACTAATTTCGAGCCAAACTTTGGAGACAGGGATGCGGAACATTTCTCTACATCTTTCACAAAATAATATAGGAAAGGAGTTTCAACTCTATAGCTTGGATTCTTTCTAATGTCCTCACAAGGCTATATAGCCCTGTTATACACGGGAATACCAAGGTCTACTGGCTTTCATCAAATCCATAAAGCAAAAATCACTTTAAAAGGACAGCCACGTCTGCCCGTCTCTCCACACATCCAACCTCTCCACATTGCTCCGGCCTTTCAGCTCCAGCCCACAGGCACACAGGATGTACTCTTTGATTTGCTTGAATTAACTCACGACCTAGTCAGTGGCTTTCTGTCTTTCATAGACAGACTCATTGTCTCAAGGAACAGCAAGCGACCACAGACCCGAAAGCCAGGAAAGAAAACCCTTGAGGTTTCTGCCTGCATTTCCTGGTGCCGACCAGGGTGTAGTACTGACCGCAAGAAGGACAGACCTGTGTTTTCCTCCCAGCCATTGTTTGCTCGGGCCCCTTTGTGTGTGTGTGTGCGTGTGTTGTGTGTGTGCGTGTGAGTGCGTGCGTGTGTGTGTGCGTGTGTGTATCTTGCTGACCTTTGAGCAACCCCTAGCATGAGTCTTACTGCACAGAGTCAGGTAGAGGGAAGAGTTTATGCTTTTTAACAATAGATATCATTTCTGCATTCTTGAGGGAAGAGCCCCACACTGTCAGGAAAGGTACCTTTCTCTTTAGCAAACTCTTTCCGTGAATGTATCCGTGCCTGTGCCTCTCTCTACTGTGAAGGTCACTTTCCTCCTTTGTCCTGCTCCCCAAGAGCAAGGGGTTCTTGCCTTTTTTAATTTCTCACCATCTAGTCCATGTACGTAGGGAGGAATCCCCAACTCTCTATGAAGCCCAGAGTTCTCCTTTCTTCCCCAGCTGGTTCTTTTCCCACACAACATCAGCCCATTTCCCTGGTCCCAGTGCCTCTTTCCTGTGCTCCTGTATCTGAGACTTCAAAGACTAAGGGGAACGGAAAAGTGTGTGGAGGGCTCTGTCCCCTCACCCCCCCCCCTTTTTTGGGAAGGACCGTGTGGGTCCTTAAATGCCTAGGGAATGCACCTATCCTTGGAGCGTGTGTCTAGACTGATTTTCCAGCCCTGGAAGAATTACTGGGTAAAATAATCCACCTGAAGATGGGACTGGTTGGGAGTGGCAGAGGCCAGTCCCGAGGAGAAGCTCTGGAAGCTGCAGAGCAGTCTTGGGAGAGGGATGGAAGGACATCAGGTAGCTCTCCTATCCCGGAACCTGAAGGACCATGGACTCACCCCACAAAGTAGGAGATGATCAGCAGCTGGACGGCTCGGTTGATGATCCCAATGGTCCAGCTCTTCACAACCACCGACTTGGTAGTCTCATAGGTGAAGAAGTCTGATATACAGTTCATATTGAGAGAGTGCTCGCAGTCACTCAGAATGGCAGCCCAAGGAGACGACCTCAGGACAGGGAGACCAAGGCCTGGAGTGGGTCGCTTAGTGGGACTTGAGGAATGGATCCTGTAAGCCAGGCAACTGTAGTCAGTGCGGTCTCTCTCGCCTCTTACCACTCTGGCGGCTGCCAACCGTCTAGGACCAGGGCGGACCACCTTTTTATTCGTCTTCTTCGCTCCACTCCCCTGTGATGTCACACAGGGGTGGGGTCTCCAATCCCGGGCTCCAGATTGCCTGGGATGCAGCTGGCTAGGGCCCTCTGGGACTCGTGTTTTATCTGCACTCTGTCTACTGCTTCCATTCTGTTCTCTTATGCGGTGTCTCCACCACACAGCTCACCAGCTCCTCTGTGTTCTCCAAAGCCCCTTGGAAGGGTCCATTCCTGAGTTAGCTGATCTGCCTGAGCCAAGGACTCCACTGCTGTGTGCCTGCCGATTTCTAGCTAATAGCACAGATGGGGAGAAAGGGTTCTTGGGTCTCCTGGGAGGAAGAGTCACATATCCCCTCCTCTTTGCCCTCCAGAATCTCATTATGTTCCTGAGCTGGTCTCAAACTTGTTTATGTTCCACACTCACAATCCCCCTGCCTCAGTCTCCAGAGTGTTGTGACAACAGGTTTGTACCACTGCAAAGCGGAAAGTCACTTAATTTCCAACTCCAGTTGGCAGGAGTGGTTGAAACTTTCTGGTTGTACAGAAATTGCCAGATTTCTTTCTTTGCCCCCAGGTTATTTGGATCTTTTGTTAGTGTACTTGCTCCTGAAAGCTTGGGGCTGTTTTAGCCATCTTCCACAGTTTCCTCAAATCCTGGAACTGTGCTGCGTTAACAACAGGTTCTCATGACATGTCTTAAACCCAGTTTGAATTAGGTAAATAGTGCTAGCAATAGCAGTATTTAACCCAGCGGTTAAAGGCACAAGTTCTAGAAGCCAAGAATGCATTTTGACTGTCTCATATCCCAGGACTGAGTTAGCAAGTCAGTGCAGTGATTGTCGGGAAAACCGCGAGTTTAAATATTCTGTCTTTATGCAGGACACGTTCTTGCAATTCCTCTAAAGGTTGGACCCTCATGGTTACGATGAAAGGCTGATGTTAAGGATTCTGAGTTCTAGGGTTCTTTTGTAGGCCTCACTTTTCTCATCTGTAAAATGGGGAAGGGTGAGAGAAACTCAAGCACCTCTTTCAGACCCGGCTTCAAATTTTGCAAGATGCACCCTGGTGCTATGTGAGGCCATCCGGGTTCTGCCAACTCAGACTGATGTGGTTTTAAGTAAGTTCTAGCTCAAAGGTAAATCTGACACCAGCACTTGAACTTAATGCGGCCATCTGCCAGGCTCTTCCGGAGAACCCACAAATTAGGGATATGGATGGGATGGTGTTGGCGGTGGAAGGTGAACTCATCTCAGAGAGGATCTGATGCACTTGCCAGGGTACAGCGGGAAGCAAGCAGTCACCGACTACTGCTTTCCCTTTGCAGCTAGTGGGGGCGTCATTCCTGGCCACAGCTCTGTATTTTTCTGGTTCAACAGACTCCTTCCCAGACTATTTTACAGGAGGGAGGGACGTGAACGAGTCCAACGCACAAACAAACCTGAAAACCTGATAAAACTGCATAACTTTTCCTCGGAATCTACGCTTTGCAGAGCGGCTTGTAACTTTCTGAGCGGAGGTCCCATCTCCTAGCTAAGAATCGCTTTGATTGCAGAAGGGGACGGAGGACTGACGCTCTAGGTGCCGTCCCGTTGGTCGGCTCGGCGGGCGTCCTTCTAGCCACGTCTTCCTCTCTATGGTCGGTGCGCGACTTCCGGTGGCGGGACGCGGGACCGCGCACGCGGGAAAAAGCTTCCCCGGCGGCCCCCTCCCCCGCGTCCCTGCCTCCTTCCCCGCGTCCCCTGCGCCCACCGCCCGGGCGGTGCCGTCGCGAGGCTGCAGCTCCAAGAGGTGGGTGGTCGCGATCCCGGGGTCCCGGGTGTGCACGAGTCCCGCTCCCCCGCGGGACACTGGAGATGGGTCGTTCCGCGTTCAAATTCGCCGGCAGTGGGCGAATCCATGTTCCAAGTAGGGGGAGCAGCATGGGTCCAGGGGGCCTCGGGTGGTGGGATCGCTGGGATCCGGACGCTGCCCCCAGGGCACAGCGGAGGTGTCCTCTCCGGGCTGGTCGCGGGGTTCCGCCAATTTGTTGCCGTGCCTGTCGGTGGAACGTCCCGAGAGGGTGTCGGTGGGGTGTGAGCGCCACGACAGGCCTGGTTCTGCACCTAGGGTCCTGGGCCTTGGCCCCGGGAACGCTGTAAGGTCCCCAAGCAGTGGAGAACTTGAGACTGTCCAATCCAGGCACAGCTCCCCATGGGTGTGCGGAGTAAGGTGGCGCCTTTACTTGTTTATCAATCTCCTTCCCGAATTCAGATTCCCACCCTGCTGAACATCTTCACGTCTACCCAGGAAGTGGGGCCCAGCTCCCAGAAGAGGGTTCGTCTTCTCTGGTGCAGCCTAGGGCTCTGTGCTCAGGCCACCACGGGCAGGTGACTATGGCAGAGACACTGGAGTTCAACGACATCTTCCAGGAGGTGAAAGGGTCCATGGTGAGAATTGCCTGGGCTTTTATTAAAGGCAGAGAGTTTGTGTCCGTTGGCAAAAGCTTAACTCTTGACTACTGTTTGGGCAATAGTGTATCTGGTGTTTCCTCAAGCAGAGCAGCAGCAAAGTCTTAAGAGTTGTTTGTGACCCTGAGTTTGAAGAGCTTGCATGTGCCGTTCTGTCTTGAACCCCTGTGTTAAGAACCAGGAAACTGGGATCCTAACAGGGCTCTGGGTGCCAGGTCAAGCTTGCAGTCTTGATTCGATGTCTCTTGTGTCTCTTGACTTGATTGCACCATTGATGAATCTGTTCAGCTTGCGACACCACACCAGTGAGGGGTCAAGTCGACCTGGTACACACTGCACCCTGTTCTGAATCCAGGTTTGTGTTTTGGGCAGAACGATGGGAGGCTACGATTGAGCCGCCAGGGTATCATCTTTAAGAACAGCAAGACCGGTAAAGTGGACAATATCCAGGCTGGGGAGTTGACAGAAGGCATCTGGCGCCGGGTAGCCCTGGGCCATGGACTTAAACTGCTCACAAAGAATGGCCACGTCTACAAGTATGACGGCTTTCGAGAATCGGTGAGAGATCTTGTTGCTGTGACCCTCTCCTTTTCTTTAAAACTGTCCTGTCTTGTTTATTTTCAGTCTTCTAGAGACAGTTGGTATTCTGATAATCATGTCATTGCTCATATGGGCTCCTCAGAGCAGGGCTGCTGGAGACTATTGAACCAAAAACTAGTGTTCCATGATTTGTGAATTTCTTTGTGCCTGGACTCTAGGTTTATCTAACATCTTAATATAAATAGTGGTTTCACTTGCTGCTTCTGTCCTGGTTCAGAATCTTGAGTCTAGAGCGTGGTGCTCTAGGGATTTGTTTTAACATTTTGGGTTGCTTGGTTTTAATATCCACTTTCATCAAAAGAGCACCTGCACAGTTTAAACACTCAGCCAGGTGATTTCTACATCTGGGAATGGAAGTTCCTTTACTCCTCTCCTAGCCTGGGATATTTTTATCTTTTTAAAAAATTAGTTATTTTGCTGGGCAGTGTTGGTGCACGCCTTTAATCCCAGCACTGCAGAGGCTGGTGGATTGAGACCAGCTTGGTCAGAGAGCGAATTCCAGGACAGCTAGGGCTAGATGGATAAACCCTGTCTTTTTTTTTTTTCTTTTTTTTTTGGATTTTCGAGACAGGGTTTCTCCGTAGCTTTTTTGGTTCCTGTCCTGGAACTAGCTCTTGTAGACCAGGCTGGCCTCGAACTCACAGAGATCCGCCTGCCTCTGCCTCCCGAGTGCTGGGATTAAAGGCGTGCGCCACCATCACCCGCAAACCCTGTCTTGAAAAAAAACAAAAGGAACAAAAACACTAAAGCTAATTTTTATGTTTATGAGGCTTTGCTTTCATGTATGCCTGTGCACCATGCACATGCCTTGTGCCCTCAAAGCTCAGAAGAAGGCATTAGGTCTGGAATTGGAGTTACAAACAGTTGTGCACAAGCCACCGCCATGTGGGTGCTGGGAATCTAACCTAAGTCTTTTGCAAGAACAAGTACTCTTGACCACTGAGCCATCATGTCTCTAGCAGTGTTTTAAGCAGCTGGGCGGTGGTGACACTTGCCATTAGTCCCAGCTTTCCAGGCTGGTCTACAGGGTGAGTCCAGAACAGCCAGGGCCGTTAGACAGATAAACCCTGTCTCTGAGAGTGTGGCTGAGGGCATCTGGTCCCAGAAACAGCCTCTCATAACAAAGTAAAATTTGTTTTACAACAGTTTTCAGAGTTGATGTGCTAAGTTCCTGTGCACAGTTTTAGCTGTGGTTTCTAATAAAGGATATATTACTGAACTTTTTCTGAACTAGAGATCTCAGGGCTTTTAAGTTGTGTTAAGGTCCAGAGGGTTTACTGGGATTTCACTTTCTCCTTACAATTTACAGGAGTTCGAGAAACTCTCTGATTTCTTCAAAACTCACTATCGCCTTGAGCTAATGGAGAAGGATCTGTGTGTGAAGGGCTGGAACTGGGGGACGGTGAAGTTTGGTGGTGAGTGAGGAAGCTTGAGAGGTTTGGGGAGAAGGTGGGGTGAGGACTTCGGATGGTACCTCGCTTAGCTCTTTGCCCTAATTTCTAATCCCAGTGTGTGTGTCTAGCTTGTATTTATTTACCTAACGTGTCTAGTGTAGCAGGCACTGTGCCTGCTTGTGGTACGGCGTGAACGAAGTTCCTCTGGTCCTCTGTCCTCATGGAACCCAGAGCTGGTGGGCATGCTTCTGCAGACTCCCAGGGAGCAGTTTGTGGCTTGAATAGCCCTTTCTTCACAGGACAGCTGCTGTCTTTTGACATTGGTGATCAGCCCGTCTTTGAGATCCCCCTAAGCAATGTGTCCCAGTGTACAACAGGCAAGAATGAGGTGACCCTGGAGTTCCACCAGAATGACGATGCCGAAGTGTCACTCATGGAGGTGCGCTTCTATGTCCCTCCTACCCAGGAAGATGGTGTGGACCCTGTAGAGGTGAGGCTTCTGCTTGTTGGTCCGCCGGGTACTGCTGAGTAGGATTCGGCTGGCCGGCCTGGGAGTAGAGGCTGTTCAATTGCCTGTGTGTGTTTGCAGGCCTTCGCCCAGAATGTTCTGTCAAAGGCAGATGTGATCCAGGCCACTGGAGATGCCATCTGCATCTTCCGGGAGCTGCAGTGTTTGACACCTCGTGGCCGGTACGATATCCGGATCTACCCTACCTTTCTACACCTCCATGGCAAGACCTTCGACTACAAGATCCCCTATACTACAGTGCTCCGCCTCTTCCTGCTGCCCCACAAGGATCAGAGGCAGATGTTCTTTGTGATCAGCCTGGATCCCCCCATCAAGCAGGGCCAAACCCGGTACCACTTCCTGATCCTCCTCTTCTCCAAGGATGAGGATATCTCCTTGACTCTCAACATGAACGAGTAAGCGTCTCACTGAACTTGTTTCTTGCGGCTGTCCAAGCAGAAAGCCGGCCTGCCTCAGGATCTCGTCTTGCTTTCTTGACAGGGAAGAAGTGGAGAAGCGCTTTGAGGGTCGGCTCACCAAGAACATGTCAGGGTCCCTCTACGAGATGGTCAGCCGGGTCATGAAAGCACTTGTAAATCGGAAAATCACAGTCCCAGGCAACTTCCAAGGGTAAGAATGGGGGCGGAAGTCCTGACCCACTGGGGATGGGGTGGGTGGGAAATGTCCTGCACCTTAGTAATAAAACCTTTCCTGTGATGGGCACCCTCTAGTAGAAGCCCAGGTGCACTTCTTGTAATTGCCAGCACCTCTGTCAAAGCAATGTAGTGGCCTGGACATTATGCTGCCATTGCTGTGGTCAGTGCTGACCGGGCCCCTTCCATCCTCCATCAGGCACTCGGGAGCCCAGTGTATCACCTGCTCCTACAAGGCCAGCTCAGGACTCCTGTACCCGCTGGAGCGGGGCTTCATCTACGTGCACAAGCCCCCTGTACACATTCGCTTCGATGAGATCGCTTTTGTCAACTTCGCCCGAGGCACCACGACCACTCGCTCCTTCGACTTTGAAATTGAGACCAAGCAGGGCACTCAGTACACCTTCAGTAGCATTGAGAGGTAAGAGCCGTCTCCTGTTTCCTTCTGCTGTCCTGACCCTGATCCCACCTCTCCTGCGAAGCTCAGGCTAGCCTCGGGTCCTCTCTGGGCCCATGATTGGGCTTTTCTAGCTAAGTTGAATTTTCTTCAGGTTCTCTGAGATCTGGTCTTTCAAGTATTCAGACTCTAGAAATGTATTCATCATTTTTTTTCTGTCCTTAGAAAAGTTTTTTTTTTTTTTTTTAAACATTACGAAAGCTGTGTGTGTTGATTAGTTCATTCTCCTCTTTTCCCATGGTGGAAATATTATCTCTTCCTTTCCTGGAATGAGCTTCGTGCCCAGGAACACAGCAGCTAATGTTTATTGAGTACTCAGCTGTAAGTGAAACATTTTACAAACATATTTGTGTTTAATCCTCATTACAGCCCTGCAAAGGGCGAAATGCAGACCAGTAAAAAAGATGGAAACCTCCCTTCCCACAATGCCCCACTGTGGGTCTATTGGTAACTACCTAGACCTACGCCTCTTCTGTCCCATAACTC